GCTAGCAGTAGTCTTCAGCGCTGGGCGCTAGTAGCCATAGCAGTAGTCTTCAGCGCTGGGCGCTAGTAGGTGGTAGTGGTAGTGTGGGAGAGAGATGGCTGGCAGAGGCCAGCGAGACTTACCTGTGGCGCCATAGCTCCAGCTCCATCTTCGAGGTACCTGCATCAAGGCGCCATCTTCACAGGTTAGTACTGGACAGAGAGAGAGAGAGAGAGAGAGAGAGAGTTCTTCTTCTTCCTCTTCTATGTCCACCATCTCTTTTTCCCCTCTCACCACCTGACTTCTCAGTATCAGCGGACTACTACAGAGAGAGAGAGTTGTGACTTGCGGGATCCAGACTCGACATTTGGGATTCAGACATTTTAACGAGGGACTATTTGGGCCTGTGCCGAAGACTTGATGTTGACGACATTCCCATCTTCCCCTCCTCTTCGTCTAACCCCCTTCTTCTTCGTCTGTGTATGGTTGAGGTTGGCGCAGTCTTCCTGTGTGAAGCGCCAGACCCCTTTCACACCATGGAACGATGATGATGATGTATGTTCAGGGCTGCATTGCAATATTGATTGTTCGGATCATTGGTATCTAAGTCTTCCGCTACGCTATCTCGTACTTTGTATTGAGAGGTCGGTTCTTGTTCTGGTCTGCACCGTTACAGTATGCAACACTCTCTCTCTCTCTCCTCAATACATCATCAGACCAGTAGGGCGAAAACAATCAGCAGTTGTTTTCGTTGCTTTTTTTTGGGGGGGGGTCTTAGGGGTGGGGTCGCCCATGTAGAAGTCACGTCTTCGTACCAGTCGTCTTCGTTGGTTTTTTTTCTTGGGTCGTAGTGGTGGGGTCGCCCATATAGAAGCCACGCCGTCGTATCTTAGAATCTTTCTCTCCCCCCCCTCCCCCCCCTCTCTCTCTCTCTCCCTCTCTCTTCAACACATCATTATATCGATAGGGGGAAAACAGTCAGCAATCATCTTCGTCTTCGTTGCTTTTTTTTTTCGGGTCCTGTACTCCGAGCTTAGAATCTCTCTCTCTCTCTCTCTCTCTCTCTCTCTCTCTCTCTCCAATGCATCATGGGATAGTTGGAGGTGGGCAGGGGAGTCGTGATGGTGTTTTTTTTTTTTTTTTGGTCGCAGGGGCGGGGGAGGAGCGTCGGAGCTGCTGGAGGTGGTGCTCAGCGGTCATCTTCGATCGATAGAGTAGGTGGGGGCGCACAGCCTTTATGGTATCTAGTTAGCTGCGCGTATTTATTGTGTTACTACGAAATTTCATCTCCGCTAGAAAGTCATAGGCACAGACTTAGTGCCATTTGATGTAAGACTTTATCCATTGCCGGGTTGTGGATGAAAGCGCTTGGACTTTTGATCTGGCGTTGACTCAGTGGTTGAAGAGAAGGCAGTATTTCTCTCTCTCTCTCTCTCTGTGTAAGAACATTGGTTCTTGGAAGTTCCATCCTGATCGCATATGCAGTGGAACATTCTTTGGCCCTCCATCGTTGTTGTCGTAGCTTAGGTGGGCTCAGAAGGCGGGAGGGGAGGGAAGGCTGTTGCAGAGAGGATGAGAGATGGGCGCAGAGGGGGTATACGTGGGCGTGGAGAGGAGTGAAGATGAGCGCATGGAGGGGAGGAAAGAGTGGTGCGTCTGTGTGAGATCGATTGGGGAGGCCCGGGGAGGTACGATGTTCCTGCGGCAGGGTCGCTCTTGTAGAAGTTGTCATCATTGTTGCAGCTTAGTCTCTCTCTCTCTCTCTCTCTCTCTCAGCACATTGGGTCTTGGAATTCCATCTGGTTCGTATATCCAGTGGAAAATTCCTGGTGCGGGCGGGGGAGGCACGACGTTCCTGGGGCGGGGCCGCTCTTGTTGAAGTTGTCGTCATTGTGGCAGCTTAGTCTCTCTCTCTCTCTCTGTCTCTCTCTCTCTCAGCACGTTGGTTCTTGGAATTCCATCTGGTTCGTATGTCCAGTGGAAAATTCTTTGGACATCTCCGACATTGTTTTGGTAGCTTAGGTGGGCGGGAAGGAGAGGAAGAGCACAGAGGATAGAGAAGGTGGCCGCAGAGGGGGTGGAAGGTGGGTGCGGAGGGTAGGCACAGTGGGCGTGGAGAGGAGGGAAGGTGGGTGCAAGGGTGAAGGATGGTTAACGCTGGGGGTGCGTGTGTGTGAGGTCAAGTGTTGCCAGTGTCAAAGGTGGGGGTGGGGGAGAGAGAGAGAGAGGGGGGGAGAGAGAGAGAGAGAGAGAGAGAGAGAACAAAGTTGAGCGTAGTAGCATAGAGTAGCGTCGGGCGTAGAGAGTCCAGTAGCATATAGTAGCCTCGTAGCCAGCCAGCGTCAAAGTCAAGTGTAGCCTTTACAGTAGCGTCGAGGTCGAAGTTAGCCGTTTCCTTCTGGTGCTGCCTGGCATAAACAAGTTTGTTGCATCACGCCCTCAGGTGTGTCCTGTTCCAATATTGCCCTGAGGAGCGCCACACGGGGTACTACCAGGCCAAAATTGGTCTGGGGAATGCTGCGCACGGCAGCACTGGGACAGGGACTACTGGCCGAGCTCGCGATCGTCTCAACACACAATCTGGACTGCCCAGTTGAACAGCGACGACGGACACAAAAAAAAAAAAGTTGCCTCTCCCCCCCCCCCCCCCCCCCCCCCCCCCCCCCCCCCCCCATCTTATGAGCATCGAGCTAACGTGTCCTGCGCCCCCCTCCCCGGCCTACATGAGCGATTGGAGAGAGAGAGAGTGAGGCGGCGATGTGTCTACTTCTACATGTGCCTCCCGAGCACCCACTCCCCCCACCGACATGACAACACATTCAAGAAATTGTAGCTGACCGTACTCTACATTATAAAAGTGAGAGAAATGGATGGAGGGAGGAAGGGAGGGGGAGGGCGACCCCTGAAACTTAG